TTTGATGCGCTTCGTTGGTAGACGTGGCAGAACCACCGATATCTACCGTGATATTGTCACGAAATTCGTTTGTGCGCTGAAGGGATTTCGGGATGATATAAAGCGGCGGAGTCCGAGTAAAATTTCACACCGGCCTTTGCCTATGGATATACAGTGGCACTTCAGTCAACCAGCAGCTAGCCATCGTGGTGGGGCGTGGGGGCGTATAATCGGGTTGGTACGACCTACACATGTATGTCTATGTAGGGAACAGTTGTTGATCAACGAACAACCAACACACTTCTTATACAGGCGAAGCGAGTGGCACCGAGCAGGCGAAGACCTATCATGGGTAGTTTACGAATCCACAAGTATTTATAAATTCTGTTGTTGGATGCGAATGAAAGGATTATAAAAATTTAGCGTTTAACCGTAAAGCACCTGCGTCGGATGATGTCCTGGTTATTTGTATTCAGCAGTTATTTTGCTTTGCAAAGCCACACAGGTTGTAGTAATCATAAAAACACTGTTGCCATTTATCAAGATGTTTCTGGTTACCGACTACTGTTCAGAGTTGAATTATTGACAATAAAGCGCGTCGTTGTCATGATACCTGAATGCGTCGATATTAGATTCAGGAAACAAAGGAATATCAGGCTGCATCTGGTGAATTTATACCTGAGAGCGTCTAAGGTAGTGCGGGACTCATCAAAACAAGATAACTCATTTATTCCTTTGTTTTGTACCAGGTGACACTCCAAGTGGATTTGGGACGGCTTTCAGTTAAATTGCTAAGGGAATCCGTTGGTCACATATGTTTGTTTTTACATAAAATACAGTATTGGTATCTGAGAGAACGCATAGATTGCTGACCAAGGAGTTTGCGATTCCACTTATAGGAAAGGCTTCATAATATTCTGGATGCACGAGGAAATTTAAAAGAATAACTGCATCATCAAAAAGCAATGTTAATCAGAATAAATCCATTCAACGAGCACTAATAATAACGATAGAAATAGGATCCTGAATATGTACTGCTGGGGCTACTCAGACAAGAGACTAATTTGATGTCGCTGGAGTGACAAGGAGAGAGAACCCCACACAATCAAAGCACACAAGTGCTTCCTGCGTATCAACGAAAACTCAAGAGCAATGTAATGCTGCATATAGTAATTTTCATGTGATGTCTGCGTTCCCTGTATGTCGTGTGGCAGCACCTAATTTATTGTCAAAATTGCAGAAGACTCACCTTCCCACAAACATCCCTCCACTTGTAAGCAAAAATTTGAGCAGTGAATTGCATGGATACTTAAGTGTTTATTTGTAGTACAATTGAAGCTAAAAGTTCCATCGGTATTAAAAGCTTTTGCACTGAGCTCATTGATGCATGAAAATAGATTATTGCATTGATGATGAAGCCAAAAGTGTACTATATAATAAAAATATTAAACACACTTACACACTGTTTTTGTTCCACGCAAATATTTTGCAATAGGCATTACAGATAGGAAGAGAAGGAAATATATATGTAAATAAACTGTGACTGAGTGGGGTTTAGGACGCCAGTATATAAGTTATTGTACACAAATTACTCCCCGCGCTCATCATCCAATTGTCCGCACATATGCAAATTATCGGATGGATATGCCACCCTTCGAAGCTGCGATAGCAAGTGTTCAGTATATCCCCTAAAACCTATTGGCTTCACATAACTATACAAAAGACGATAACTGTTTTGATTGTGTTCAGCGCAGCTTCCGTTCCCGCATTTCCACAGTCAGTTCCTGCATTTTGATTTAGAAAATCCTAGTGCACCAAAGAATAATCAACTACGCTGTGTAGCAACTCAGATGATATTTCCGGTATGCGGCATCATGCGGTAAGGCATTTAAAACTCTCGAGTTTACATTTGCTTGCAATTTGCCAGTTGAATGAATATATTTGCATTTAATTTGAGGGTGTGCATAGACATCGCGTAAATCGAAGGGATTTTAACACAAGGTTTTAGGATACATTCCCGGATCGTTGAGCTTCTAAGCCACCGTATTGGTGATAGTAATAAATTACTTACCAACTTGCACACATATACGGGCTTTAAAATCGTGTTTGAAAATGCGTTAGCATATTAGGAGAGGAAGATTTATTTAGGACCTGTCAAATGGAAATCTGATAAAATTGGTTTACGTAACTTGGTTTCTAACCATTTTCGGTGTCACACAGTTAATCATATTTGATCCCATAAAGAATGAATATTACTGTTTGCGAGATTTCGTGCTGCTTTTTATTATAATTTTTTGGTAAGGGTGCTTTTTTGCATTTATCTCATAAACAAACTGATGAATGATTAAGTAGGCAAGCCTCCGTATTACAGCATTGTCAAAACCCTATTGGTGGGCCTCATTGAAGAAACTTGACAATGTATATTTACATCAGCATTCGTTTACCTTTTATATTATTTCGCTGGAAATGTGCTAATCTTTGTAACCTTTTTGACAAGAACATATGGCTGAAAATGGCGCCCACAAAATAGGTGGCAATGGGTGGCAATTTACACATTTTTATCCTATCCCTTCAATGGAAATTTATACTCACGGCCTTTGGTTGTTTTCAGTAAAACACAATCAGTAAATTTGTACTGTGGCAAGTGTGGTATCGATTGATTTTCGTCAGGTTGGAGTTGAAGTATCGGTCCTAAAAATGGCAATATTGTGTACTAATGGTTCGGTGATTGAGGAAAATATTATCATAGTGTTATATTCATGAAAAAATTGCGGATGAGATATCCGCATATTCAGAATTACATATAGGCGAATGTTATCAGAACCATGCACAATATCTAAAACCATCATGCACCAACGGACATCGTCTAGATAGGATGATGTTGCGGACAGAGATGGAAACTAAATACGGATTTTCCAGGGTATATGAAACATGTTTAAACTTAAACAGAGCGGTGCAGTATGCAAACGGCGTGCATAGACGTTGCGTGACAATAGTGAAACCAAGAGGTCCCAAAGTGATATAGAAATATAAAATTCCCACAATTGAGGAAACAGATAAAACACACTGGATAAAGAGAAGTATTTTGATAATCGTTCCATCCCAAATGAAGCTAATTCAGGAAAACTGTGGGGTTGTTTCACCCATGAGAGGTCATCTGCCGTCTAGCTTAAGGACATCCTAGTGTTACCATCCAAATGGCGTTGGCAGCTCACTGTTCCCCGTTGTCTGCGATAGAGCCAACGCACAGCGAGTGATACAACATTAAGGGCTATTTATTTATTGCGCAATACAGACTTTGAAATCCAACCAATACGCCCAGATTTGAGAAACGGGTTGTGTGCGTTAGAGCGGAGGGTAAATTTGATTCCTGACTGAGCAAATACGAGAAATGGTAGTCTAGAATGTAATGTAATGTAATCTAGAATGGTTATGCATTGGCCGATGAATTTACTGTGGCAGAGTTTGATGATAACCACTGTCAAATAATTCCGTTGATTTGATGCATCTCTGGTAAAACGTAAATTCAGAACTGAGCACATTTACAGCAAACCCCCAAAAACATAGTCACAAGACCGTTTTTTTATCCGATCGAAGCGCAACCACACGTCATGAACCGACACAAGAAAGTGAATTTGAAAATGGAAAATATTCAAACAATTCAAGCAAACACTATATTCTCACATTTTCAACTACCCTCTGTTCATCAGAACAACGCGGAAAAGCAACTGCAAAATTGACACTTCTGTAGAAGTCACACTGTTTGCATTTATGAGAGAAAAAAATGCACTATGCGCCCAATCTTTGGTTCTGCAATAGTCTTCATGATATGTACTTGCACATAAATTTTGCAAAGCACTTCTCAACATTATGATGTAGGCGATAAATCTTATACCCTGGGACCACACTCACTTATCAAATCATCTCAGATGTAGGTTTAACGGTATCCTGTTGCGCTCAGAACGTTTCACTTGGAACGCTTTGACTCCTTACAAGATTCTCACTGTCAGCTAAGTAAATCAACGCGACAGGCACAGAACGGAACACAGCTCAACCGTTCTCCGATAGAAGAAATGGAATGTTCATCAAAAGTTTATAACGTGCAAGAACATTTCCCGGTGGGTTTACGTCACTTATTAATAGGAATAGGGAAAATCTGGTTGGAAGAATGATAACACAATGGTAGTCGATTTGAGTTGTATTTATTAGGAAACCTTCCGCCCAGTATTAATCAGCAAA